GCATAAGGAGCTTGAATTGCGAATTGGAGATGCCATGGGGGCGTTGATTGAGTAGGGCTGTTGTTGGATCAGGTCGTAAAGTGATAGTACTGAGTGTGGATAGTATGGTGAAAATTTCAGCCCAGAAGATTCGGGCTACTGGGCAGTCCCACCAAATGTGGTAATGTGTTCCTGGGTCCGCACAGCCTCTGAAACAGTTGGGTGAATAGCTAGGGGTAAATTTTGCAATTCTCGCCGGGACCAAGTACCAGCAAGTTAAGACTTTATAGTTCGTTTCTAATGCTATGATGTTCTGCGAAGATGATTTTGTGTTGGCCCAAATGTGGTCCCAATCAGATGAGTCGAGTCCCTTACCTAAATCCTTTTCCCACCTATGGGTGTAGGGAGGGGGTGGCGCTGTAACCGAAATAGTGAAGAGTGAGTATAGGCATGAAATAAGACCACGTCTGTGAGGGTCTTTGCAACACGCCCGTTCAAAGAAAGACATGGCATCTGGTTGATTGGTTACTGTTAAGGGGCGTAGAAATGTTGTAATGCTTGCCAGTTTTTAAAAGTAGTGGCTAGTTTCCTTTTCTCAGGCTAAGTATATTTTTATGCTTTTGTGCAAGTGCAGACACATTTCTGTTCATCCTGCTAGAAATCCAGTGCCCTTGTAACTTTCTGCGCACTGAACTGACATCTCTAAACAATGTTCCTTGCTTTCTCAGTTATCTTCCATGAATTACAAAACAATTCCCCACTATGTAATGGAGGTGATCAGAGGAGAAGGTGTTCTGTAGTCCTAAACCCTTGGGTGACAGTGCTTTACCACCAGTAAAGTTAGTGAACATTGTCATACTATACACCAGATAAAAATTCAGGAATCAAAAATGTCTAAAAATAAAAAACTAATGCAGCCACCTCATCTTAGGACTCCAATATATAAAAGTAATGCAGTATTGCTATATGACCAGCAGACTGACATTTCATTTTGTTTGTTTCAGGCAAGATCATCCAACCTATGAGCTCATTGTAGCCTCTAAGGTAAGAGCCCTTAATTTAACTTTATTTCTCCCACTTATACTAAAAATCGAAGTACTCTGCAAATACCGAACATAGCTTCCATGTCCGCCCCTAGTCTCCTCCCACTCTTATACTTTCCTATGGCCACCAAATGAGTGTGTCATGGACTGGGAAGACTTAATTCAAGGACACAACAAAAGTGGTGCGTTAAGATCTTTTGAGCTATAGCATTTGCTATACCAGTCATTCATAATACTATTAAATAATTTAGGAAAATAAGGAATGTGATACTTTCTTTTTGGTTGATAAATAGCTGCATAACATCACAGCCGTGCTTTAACAGCATAGCAAAAAAGAGTGGTGTACTCTTCAAAGTGGAACTAAAATTGAGTTAAAAAAAATTGCAGTCATCACTGGTTTTGTAAAAGCCAGCAAAAGGAGACAATCTTTGGAGAAGATGGTTGTAACAGCAATGGAGTGCCAACAGGGAGGGCGCACCTGTCAGGACTGGAGGAAAGAAAAGGAGGTAAGTCTAAAAACATATATGCTCGCACTTTATGACAGGAGCTCCAGTGCCAAACTATATGTTAGTCTAGGTCAGTGATGGCGAACCTTTTTGAGCCCGAATGCCCAAACTGCAACACAAAACCAACTTTTTTATTTCAAAGTGCCAACACTGGAATTAATCACTTTCAGCTTTCAGTGCTGTTGCACTTAACAATGACAATTGTGCGGTCATGCAACACTGTAACCATATGCAATTTCTATCATTTTTTCACACAAATAGAGCTTTTTTTGGTGGTGTTTAATCACCACTGGGTGTTTTATTTTTTGCACTATAAATGAAAAAAGAGCAAAAAATTAAAAACATAAAAGGTTTCCTTTGCTTCTATTCTAAAATTTTGCAAACAGGTAATATTTCTTCTTTGATGTGCGTTGGTGAGGCTGCACTGATAGGCAGCACTGATGGGCATTGATGAGGCGGCACAGATAGGTAGCACTGATGAGGCGGCACTGGTGAGCATTGATGAGGAGGCACTGATGATGCACTGATATGCAGGAAATGATGGGCACTGATAAGCGGCACTGACTGATAGCACCAACTGGAGGCACTGACAGACGGCACTGACCGGCGGCACTGCTGGGCATCATTGATGGGTGGCACTGATGGGCAGCACTAATGAGGTGTCACTGATAAGTGGCACTGATATGCGGCAGTGATTGGTGGCACTGATAGGCGACACTGATAATGGGTACTGATAGACAGCACTGGTAGGTGGCACTGACTGACATCACTGCTGGGCACTGACTGGCGGCACTGCTGGGCACTGACTGGCACAACCACTTGGCACTGACTGGTGGCACTGACTGGCAGCACTGCTGGGCTGCACTGATGGGCACTGGTGGGTAGCTCTGGTGGGCACAGGTGGGTTGGCACAGGTGGGTGGCACTTCTGGGCACAGGTGGGCGGCACAGGTGGGCATAGGTGGGTGCATTGCTGGGCACAGGTGGGCAGCACTGCTGGGCACAGGTGGGCGGAACTTGTGTGTGGCACTGCTGGGCACCGATCATCAGGGCACTGATGATCAGTGACCCTTATGATCGGTGCCGTTCCCTGCTCTGACAACTGCCGGTTTTCGGCAGTACTTTCCTCATGATCTGACAGCGTGAGGAAAGTGCAGCCGAGAACCGGTATTTGCATTTCCCGGTGATCAGTGTGTCATTGGACACGGCTGATCACATGGTAAAAGGCCGCTGTGATTGGCCTTTTACCACGTCACGTGATCAGCTGTGTCTGTAGGACACAGCGATCACGGAGATCGCCCGGTGCGTGCCCCCGGGGGGTGCGCAGCAGAGCGCGTTCTTCCTCTTCTTCCTGGCGTGCCCACTGAGATGGCTCTGCGTGCCAGCTCTGGCACGCGTGCCATAGGTTCGCCATCACTGGTCTAGGTTCACACCTCTGCGGGTTGCATTTGTTGTGTATCTGGATTGTGTTTTGCGTTGCGTTTTTGCTACGTTTTTGCTGCGTTCTGGATTTTTTTTTGTCATTTTGCTAATTTTTTTTTAAACGCAAAATGCAAAATAGATGAAAAACGTGAAACTGGTAAAAATGCAATACATGCTTTTCTGCATCATTCGCATTGAAGTCTATAGAACCAAAAATGCAATGTTTTATGTTCAAAAAAGTCCCTGAACCATTCCAAAAAACGCGGAGATGTGAACCTGTTCCATAGGAAATCATGTTAAATGGACTGTACTGCGTTTCTGCAAAACACTGCAGAAAATGCATAGGTGTGAACCTGTTTTAAGCCAGCAGAGTTGAAACAAATCCTGAAAGTAAACTGGTATGAAACAAAGCTATATTCCAGATAATGACACCGAAACAACTTTGGCCATCACTCTGTGTGTAAGTTTTGGTGTATTTAAAGTGGTATATAAACTCAAAAGCAAACATTTATTATATTGCAGCTTACCAATTCTTAGATGTGATGATTCATTTTATTTTTTAGGCTTCCTTTTTTTTTTCTATTTTCATTTGGTAATCCAGTCAGTAAGTCTGTTAATTTTCAAAATATCTGAATATATTAGTTACAAAGGTGAGACAAGCCATTTAACACTGGCAGGGGTGCATACAATGATCAGCTTGTATTTATTTATGTAAAACCTTTAATCCATATGAAACAAAAAAAAATAGCTTAAAAAGCTTTAGCTGTAGCCTAGATTCAATCTGTTAGTGTATGTAAATCAGCTAGTCCATCTAACACTCCCTCCCCCCAGACTGACAATGCTGCTGTCCAAAGATGACTCTGCTGCTCCTTCATCCAGAGTGGAGGCAGTCTAATACAGGCGGTTTGTTACTGGCCAAATTACCAGATGAAAGCAGAATGATAAAAGCCCCAAAAAAGAAACAAATGCAGCCACCACATCTAATGGTTGTTAAGCTGCAATATTATACATTTTTGGTTTTAACGAATAGAATCAGTTATTAAAGGCCTTCCCATAGTGATACTTTAGTTATAGGTAGACTCTGATGGGCTGAGTCATGTAAATCTCTGTTTACCTTGGAGTTTTAGGTGTTCCTGCTTCCTTGCTAGATTCATCAGTTGTTCTATAATATCTCCCATCTGACCCCTACCCAAGTGCACCCTACCTGGGATAATACTTACCTTTTTCTCTAATTCAGCAATATTTCCTCTGATGAGGTCCTGAATGGTTCCTCTCTGTGCTGCGCATGCATGCTGTAATGCTATTAATTCCTATGGGTAGACACCCAAATGCAGACTTATTTCATTCTTATTGGGCTTGTCCAATCATTTTAAAGTTTGTGGAACTCAGTAGTCTACTATATTACCACATATTTAGTAAATTACTTGCCTCTAATGCCTGAATGGCCACTCTATGGTCTAACAAACCTCCATGATATCAAAATTTTAAGGGTCTATAAACAGCTCCTCATTGTCATATTCCTGGTAGCTCAGAAAGTCATTTTACATAAATGGATTTAACTGGAACACCCCACTATTTGTTTGTTCATAGATAAAGTATCCTGTGTTTTCTGCATGGAACTGCTGGAGGCCTCTTTATACAAGAAATCAAAGGTCCAAAAATTCTATGATCTCTGGAAGTCTTTTGTTCAAACCTTGCCCGTGGACACACAATGATCTATAGTACAATGTTTCCAATATACCCAATGGAACCTTACCAGACTATTAACCAATGACCTGCCAGTTGACATCCAACCCTCCAATTAAATTTAATTACTATCTATTCTCCAATTTATTGCATGAGGTCTTCTCCCCCCACTTCATCCATTAATTGTATGACCAACCACCATCCATTCTGATGCTTTTTAATGTTTATCCCTAGACCCAGCACTGGTATTCTGTTTTTGAACTACATTATTTTGTCAAAAGTATTGGGACACCCCTCCAAATCATTCTATTCAGGTGTTTCAATCACCTCCATGGCCACAGATGTATAAAATCAAGCACCTGGGCATGCAGACTGCTTCTACAAACATTTGTGAAAGAATGGGTCGCTTTCAGGAGCTCAGTGAATTTAAGTGTGGTACTGTGATAGGTTGCCACCTGTGTAAGAAATCCATCCATGAATTTTCCTTGCTACTAAATATTTCATGGTCATCTGTTAGTGGCATTATAACAAAGTGGAAGCAACTGGGAACAACAGCAACTTAGCCATGAAGTGGTAGGCTGCATAAAATGACAGCGGGGTCAGTGCATGCTGAAGCGCACAGTGCGCCGAAGTTGCTGACTGTCTGTAAAGTCAGTAGCTAAAGACCTCCAAACTTCATGTGGCCTTCAAGTTAGCACAACAACAGTGCCTAGAGAGCTTCATGGTTTGGGTTTCCATGGCTGAGCAGCTGCATTCAAGCCTTACATCGCCAAGTGCAATGTAAAGAGTCGGATGCAGTGGTGTAAAGCATGCCACCACTGGATTCTAGAGAAGTAGAGACGTGTTCTCTGGAGTGACAAATTATTCTTCTCTGTCTGAAAATCCAATGGACATGTCTGGGTTTGGCAGTTGCCAGGAGAACGATACTTGCCTGACTGCGATGTGCCAAGGGTAAAGTTTGGTGGAGGGGGGATTATGGTGCCGGGTTGTTCTTCAGGGGTTGGACTTGGTCCCTTATTTCCAGTGAAGGCGTCAGCATATCAAGACATTTTGGACAATTTCATGCTCCCAACTTTGTGAGAACACTTTGGGGATGGCCCCTTCCTGTTCCAATATTACTGCACACCAATGCACAAAGCAAGGTCCATAAAGACATGGATAAGCAAGTTAGGAGTGGAGGAACTTGACTGACCTGCACAGAGTCCTGAGCTCAACCTGATAGAACACCAGGATGAATTAGTGTTGAGACTGTGAGCCAGGACTTCTTGTCCGACATCAGTGCCTGACCTCACAAATACGCTTCTGGAAGAATGGTCAAACATTCCCAAGAACACACTCCTAAACCTTGTGGACAGCCTTCCCAGGAGAGTTGAAACTGTTATATCTACAAAGGGTGGGCCAACTCAATATTGAACCCTACGAACCAAGACTGGGATGCCATTAAAGTTCATGTGCGTGCAAAGGCAGGTATCCCAATACTTTTGGCAATATATTGTATATCAGCAAACTGTATGTTGTCATTCTCATAAGATCTCTTTGGAAAATTTGGCGGCCACTGTCATTGTTAACCACATACTGGCATTTAAATACAATATATATATATATATATATATATATATATACATATATATATAGTATATATAGTATAGTTAAAAAATCCTATGGGTAAGTGGAACTCAGAGGGATTGCTGAAGGTTGCAGAGGTAACATGTGGGTAAGCAGAAGAATCCAGAAAGCACTGCAGGTAATCAGGAAATTGAATCACCAGGAAGTGTCAGTTGTGTGGCTGAATTCAGGGAACCAAATTATATTGGATATTGTTAAGGAGATCGTCAGCACGGACAGCGGAAAAGGTATATACCTTCTTTTACAGGTATTAGTTTGCTGGATATATTTTGTATAGTGATAGGCTTGCTATAGACTTTAAAGAAATCTGCATAGGTAATGCTGAAATGTATATTTACTCGTCCTTGTTATTGTACTGTTAATGCTTAGGATAACTTAATTGCTTAATAAAGACATTCTAATGGGATCTCTACACTTTCTTTAAGCATCAAGTATAACAGCAGTTGGAAAATGCAAACTTCCTGTGGAATTCTGAGTGTGTTTCCAAGTTAAGAGCTGTCCTGTCTGCTCACATTGTAGATTCAGAATTAGTTGCTGCACTCTTTTTAGTCCATTACTGTATGTAAGAAAGAACATAAGTAGACAGCGCAGTGCAGCAAGCTCACAGCAAGTACATTAGTGCTGCTATAGCAGAGCTCTGCACTGTAGGATCAGACACGTATATGGAATGTTAAAGTGCTTGACTAAGTGGTGAGTGCTTCAGTCTCTGCAGAGCAGTCTTGGCTTCCTTTGCTATTGTATTGAATCAAACACTGGTATTTCTTATTCTTGTTGCCTTTATTATTTTTGTTGATGGCGTACATCTGTGTACAATTTTTTTTTACAAAAATTGATATATGATGAAAATATATGATATCATAGTATTCTGTCTTTTCAAATGTTCAATAGGCTACTTAATTTCAAGTTCTGTCTTAAACTGGCCATACACTAGTAGAATTTCCTTTGAAAATTCTAATTAATAGAAAGTTTGATTGATTTTGAAATTACTAGTGGGGTCAAATTGACATTTTTTTTTTTGTGGCAAGAAAATTAGTAGGAGCAGAATGGAATTTTTTCCATAAAGTGGTTGTAAACCTCACACATAAACTATGAACAAAGCATATCCCTCTATAGTGTGTACTTGTCTCAATCCAGAGCACTAATCTGGCCATAGTTGGAGCGATGGTTGCAGGAAAGGAAATCATTTGATTCCCTCAGCAACACAGTCAGTGTTGATGGGGAAATCCCTCCAGTGGAGCCATTGTGTTCTCCTGGCAGGGGGAGTCGTCCCCCTGGGAGAACACAGTAATTACTGCTAGCGGCTATAATACTTGCTAGCAATAATTGCATGTAAAATCCAACAGTTTGGTTGTAGCCAAGTTGATAGATCGATCAACTTGGGTACATTCAGGCTGCCTGTATGTGGTTCGAATCTTGGTCGGTCTCTGCTGGACTGGCCGAGATTGTAGCCATCTCTGGCCAGCTTTAGTGTCATTTTTGTCTGCACCAAGAGAAAAATGATGATGGGGAGGGAGCTCCAGCAGATTGCAAACCTCAGCTTTGTTCTTGTGAGCTGTGTGGAGGGGGGGGGGGTGTCTCCTTCCTCCAATCAGCTCTCAGAGCTCTCCTCACTGAGCTCAACAGAGTGTAATTTCAGCTCTCCATCCCCTATTTTCTGAACTCATAGAAAAGCTTTATAATTCTGCACTTTGAATGGATATAAAGAACAGAAGACTACAGTTAAAGAGGTAGTTTATGTAGGAGGATTTGTTTCATCTTTGTGTATCACCTGAAGCCACTCACTTTCCTGGGTATATGTAAGGGTTTACAACCACTTTAATGAACACACAGTGAATTTGGTTTTGTTTGGGAAAGTACATTCATTCCAAAATTGAATGTTAAAAGCAAGTGAATTTTTAAGTACTTTAAAAAGACATTTGTTGGGACATTGAATGTGCTGATCAGAACTTTTGTACAAATGTTTGTATGAACATTTGTTTGGAAATCTACTAGTGTATGGCCAGCTTAACAACAGTCTATCTACTATTAAGTTTCTTATTCAGAAAAGCTTCTTTTATGCACATGTCTGGTTCTAATTTCACTTTGTTACCAAGTGCCTAAAGTGGAGTTCCAATCAAACTGTAAAAAAACAAAAGTCATCAGCTACAAAACCTGTAGCTGCTGACTTTTAAAAAACAGCCACTCACCTGTCTCTTGATCCTGCGGTGTCCTCTCCGCAGCCCGTATCTCCGGCCTTCCTGTGTTCCCGACGCCGGTATCTTCAGTGTGGGCACCCGGTTGTGACAGCTTGCGGCTTCACAGCTGGGTTCCCACTACGCATGTACTTTTTGAATAGTCCTGTAATCTTCTGGAACCTGTCACATGTCCCAGAAGATTATGGGGAGGGAGGGGGCAGGATGACTTTTGCTTCTGATTACCTAGACGATTGCAGCAGAAGTGGGAGCATGTACTTGTCAATTTCGGGTACCTGCTCTCCAAAGGTGCTAATGCTTAATGGGGAGCAAGGGACCAGTCCTTAAAGAAGAACTTCCCCTTTTGAGTGGAGCTCCACTTTAATCTGGGTACCCTGATGTTGATATTTGTGTAGTAAGGTACCCTGGTAATCATATAAAACTCAAACAGTTAAAGCGGAACTTTACCCAAAAGGGTAGGTTCCACTCTTCCTCCTCCTCTGACATATTTGGGACTTTTTTTGGTTGAGGGGGGAGCGGGTACCTGGTTTTGACAGGTAACTGCTCCCACTTCTGCTCAGATCACCTAGGCAATCTGAGCAGAAGTTATTCCCTCCAACCCCCCCCCCCCTGCCCTCAGTCCTCTGGGACATGTCACAGATCCCAGAAGACTGCAGGACCATTCAAGAGGCGCAGTGTGGCTTCAGCATGTGTAGTGGGCGGCCAGCTGTAAAGCTGCAAGGAGTCATAGTCAATTGCCCACAGTTAAGAAGCCGGGGACCTGAAGAGTGAAGAAACCGTCCAGGTGAGGACAGTGCTGAAAGGTGAGTGAGTATTTATTAAAAGTCAGTAGCTACAGTTTTTGTAGCTGCTGACTTTTAATTTATTAAGAAACTAACCACTTTTTCAAATATTGCCATAGGTATTGTATGTGAAAATAGAAGTCCCTGTGGTGTTTGGTGTCCCTGCTGATTTACTAAAGGAGAATATCTTTCATGTGGTGAAACTAACATGTGTTAGCTTAGAACATCAAATAACATGCAGTGACATTTTAAAACAGGGGCGGACTGGCAACTCATGGGGCCCCTGGGCAATAGGGGATCATGGGGCCCCTGTGTCCTTGCCCAAACTCAAAAAAGCCTATGAAAAAGGTACCAGGGGCATCTCATGGGGCCCCCCCTACTGACCCCGGGCCCTCAGGCAGTGCCCAAGTTTCCAAATGGTCAGTCCGCCCCTGTTTCAAAAATATGATTTTCATTAGCACAGATTACATGATTGAAGTGAACACAGTTTAAATGAACTATATGAACAATGTACTTCTTTAGTAAATCCTCCTCCCAATGTGTCAAGGGTTAACAAATAATCTATTCTTACAATAAATGCTTTTGTGCAGAAATGCCACATGTTACCCATGCCCTTATAAGAGAGAAAAACTCATGTTACAGATGTATTTATCCTAAACCTAAAAATGCAACAATGTCACAACCTTATTGTGATCCACACCAAAAGGTCAGATATATTGTAAATCTGATTCCATATCAGGCTGATATCCTTTGGGTGCTTGTCTTTTATTAAGATCACCACAGTTTTAGAAATCAATACCCATATCTCATAATTAAAAGTTTCCTTACATTATTAAGTGCTTCAGCATTTTTAATAAGGGCTTTACAAACCTGATTTAATTATTTATTGTCAGCTGCTCTGACTCGGCTTGTTACCCTAATGTCTCCACTTGTAAATAATTTCAAACCATTTGTCACAAATCAAAACATGTGGAATGTATTTCATCCAATACTTCTATCCTTTCTTATAATTAATTTTCCTTTTCAAAGCACGTCGGCTTTTTGTAACTGTAAAGTGTAATCTTTAAGTTTAGTTTGCTTAATTATTTCAAAATCATTAAAAAAGCAATATAAAATGTTACTCCAACCAAAACCATTGTTTTCTGACTCAGATACAGCTGGGGAGGAATAAAACCTCTATCAGGACCATTGGTCTTTATGATCCCTTTAGGGTCACAGGAGGAGGAAGAAAAAGGGACATAGATCTCAAATAAATTGTATTTTTTTGCTAACATGGCTAGAAGCACTTTATTTCTGTGTCCTTGTTGAAGATTTTCCCTCATTCAGTCCAGGTGACCATATTGGAACCAGGGCTGGAAGTGAGCAGACATATTCCCATCAAGGCCTCAGAAGGTAAAACAGCATCTTCCTTTTTTTATATTGTAATATAAAATTAAAAATGGAATGTTTTGGTTGGAGTTATGTA